AGACCGTTGCAGGGAGTTGAATGATCAATTATTTATGCGGTGGAAGGGCTTAGGGTTTAGTGTTTAGGGTTTAGGGTTTAGGGTTTAGGGTTTAGGGTTTAGGGTTTAGGGTTTGTGGTTTCAGGCATCGGGGAGTTGCCTTTAGAATTCGTGCAGGGGGGTTGGCAGCAGCTGGAGGAGTTTCTGCATTTGTTGTTTGCTTCTAAACCCCTGAAGAGAAGATGTCTCCTTGCTCGTGTATGAAGCTTTATTTCTTCTGTCTCCTTTGCTTCTTCTGTCTCCTTCATTTCCTCTGTCTCCTTTGTTTCTTGTGTCTCTTCTTCTGTCTTCTTTGCTGCTTCTGTCTCCTTCATTTCCTCTGTCCCCTTCATTTCCTCTGTCTCCTTCGTTTCTTGTGTCTCCTCTGCTTCTTCTGTCTCCTCTGCTTCTTCTGTCTCCTTTGCTGCTTCTGTCTCCTTTGCTGCTTCTTCTGTCTCCTTTGTTTCTTCTGTCTCCTCTGTTTTTCTGTTTTACTTACTATTTTGTCTCCTTTATATCTTTTGTCTCCTTTGTTTGGCTGTCTCCTTTCTTCTTCTGTCTCCTTTGTTCTTCTGTCTTGTTTGTTTTGCTGTTTGATTTATTCTTCTGTCTCCTTTCTTCGTTTGTCTCCTTTCTTCTTCTGTCTTGTTTGTTTTGCTGTTTGATTTATTCTTCTGTCTCCTTTCTTCGTTTGTCTCCTTTCTTCTGTCTCCTTTCTGCTCTTTTCTTTTTCTTTCTTTTGTCTGACTTTTGTCCGCTGTTCTGTCTCCTTTTGTCTCCTTTTGTCTCCTTTTGTCTCCTTTGCTGTCTCCTTTTGTCTCCTTTGCTGTCTCCTTTTGTCTCCTTCAGTGTTTTCTTCTGTCTCCTTTTTGTCTCCTTTTGTCTCCCTTTGATTTATTTTTTTGCTGCTTCTTTCTTCACCCGCGCCCCCGCCATTCTCTTTTTTTTGTTTGTCTCTTTTAGTCTCCTTCTTGTTTCTTCTTCTGTCTCCTTTTGCTGCTCCTTGACAGGGTTTAGGGTTTAGGGTTTGCGAATGAGTCTGCAACCAGGCATGGGTGTATGTTTGTTTACTTGTGTGTGTGTTTGTGCTGCTGCTGCTGTTGCTGCTGCTGCTGCTTCTGCTGCTGCTGCTTCGTTTTCTGTTTCTGCGCTGCCGCTTCCGCTTTGCGCTTGCTGCTTTTGCTGCTTTTGCTGCCGTTGCTGCTGCTGCTGCTGCTGCAGCTGGTGGAGACACTTGTAAGGGACGGTTGGGGGCCCTGTTT